GCACACACAGACACAGACACACACACACACACACAGACAACCTCTCGTCAATATGCGTTTTTCGCACTGCACTGCTGCAAAAAAACGCATAAAAACGTAATTTGCAAGTATGTATATTTGTCGACCTCTTTCTTTTCTCGCAAATTTTTTTTTCAGTAGTTTACATTTATAACTGCTGCTTCTACGTATCAAGATGACTGGCAATGGTCATGCCGAACAATGACCATTGCCAGTCATCTTGATTTAAGACAGAACAGCTGTGAAGGAACGCCTCCGAAAACATCCTTCCAACCCATTTCTTCCACTCTTCCGAAAGTCTCTGGATGGAGGGGAGCAACGGCATTTGTCCGGCCGTGTTGGACTCTCCCAAGAAGTCAATGCCACGACCCTGTTCCTGAATTCGAGGTCCGGGTCGGAGAATTGAAACTACCTGTACCGTGCTGCGCCTTGATAAATATTCATAAGAAGGATCCGGTGTATTTCCGGGAGGACTGAACTTCTCATATTTATTGTAGTAAAAGGTAACAAGCTTTTACTTCCACTGCACAAAACGCATATTGCCGAAACCGTGCCTGGTGTGTGCCTGTGTGTGTGTGTGTGTTCTGAGTGCATTTTATCTGGGGGTTACGAAGCTAAAATTTTAAAGGGACTCTCTAGTCGCGTCTGCTCTCGTAAACTCAAGTTCAGTGTCCGCGTGCGTGCAGACTTTACGTAAGGTCACGCAAAAGTTTTGGTTCCAAATTAATAACTCGGGAGGCACAAAAGCTAGGGAGCTGAAATTTTAGGGGAATGTTTCATGCCCGCGTGTGATCCCGTAAATTTAAATTCAGAACTAACGTGCGCCTAAGTCTCGCGTACAAACACGTAAAAGTTTCGGGGCGAAAGTTATTAGCCCTGCAGCCAACAAGGCCAAGAAGTTGAAATATTAGGATGACCACTGCTCGCATACGCCCCCGCAAACTCAAATCCAGACCCTCCCCGCCTCCGCATGCTTAGATCTCACGTAGAGACACGTAAAATTTTTGGCGCCAAAAGTAATAACTCTAGAGTTGGGAAATCTAGGAAGCCGAAATTTCAGAATAATACTCTTGCTCGCGTATAAATTCAGTCCCTGCGCTTCCCTAAATCTCAGTTATGTATAAGCGAAAGTGTTGAAGGCAAAATTCATAATTCAGGAACCACAAAAGCTAACAGGCTGGAATTTCAAAACAATGCTCTTTGCTCGCGTATAATTTCATTTCCGCGCATGCCTGGGTTTCGTGTACGGACAAATGGAAGTTTTGGCGCCAAAATTAGCAAATCAGGAACCGCAAGAGCTAGGGCTTGAAATTTTGAGATAACATTCCCTGCTCGCATATGAGTTCAGCCCACGCACACGCTTAGGTTCACGGACGCGTGCAAATTTTAATGCCAAAATTAACAACTCGGGAACCAGAAAACTTAGAAAGCGGAAATTTTAGGCGACTGTTCCTCGCCAGCGTTTAACCCTGCAAGGTTAAATTCAGCTTTCACATATCCTAGATCTTACATAAGGGAGCTTGAAGGTTTCAGCGCCAAAACTGTTAGCTCAGGAAACAGGGAAGCTAGGAAGCTGGAATTTTAGGATAGTGTTCCCTGCCGCACAAAAATTCAGTTTCTGCGCAGCCCAGGCCTCACGTTCAGGCATGCAAAAGTTTTGGCACCAAGACTAATAATTCGAGAGCCACAAAAGCTAAGGAGCAAAAATTTTAGAACGGTGTTCCGTGACCATGTACGACTCCCGCAAATTTAAATTCGGCTTTCACTTACGCTTCGAAGTCATGGACGGCACGTGAGTGCTTTGGCGCAAAAATTATTACCTCGGAAACCAGAAAAGCTAACAGGCTGAAATTTTAGGAAGATGCTCACTATCTGCGTATAAATTCAATCGCAGCGCACGCCTAGATATCATGTACGGACGCTTAAACGCTTTTGCTTCAGAATTAATAACTCGAAAACCAAGAATATTTCTATTAATACTAAACAGTACAGCAGTCAACACTTCTAACAGAGATCCACTGGACAGAGCTGCATAAAACGCATGATCTGGTGGTCAGCCACCCTGGTACCCGCCGTCATTTATTTTTTATTGAAAGTGAAGAAACTGCCACATACGATGGGAACTCTTGTTAGTACTTAAAGCTTGTTCTCTCAGCGACATCCATGGTCTTCGCGTGACCCGTGAACAAGCCCCTACACTGGCAAACTTTTGCTTGAGAAATTAAGACTCCATCCACGACAACATTTGTGGCCAACGGTTTGAATTTCACAACAATGTGCTCCGTCGCTGAACACGCGCTGCTTAGCTCCTCATTGGGTTTTATTATGGCCTTGTACAAGTGTAATCCGTTTCACAGCTGGGTTGTCACAGAGATACAGTCAGGTTGCAGGGCCATCAAGACAGCCTCTTTCAACGGGGACAACGCCGACTTCGCCGCTCCACGAATTTAGTCCCCAACCTTCCGGACATGAGCAAGCGCCGGTGCGAATGCCAACCCACTGGGGCAGTATCTCAAAAAAAGATCGTTTAAATATTACGCAAAAATTGAGCTGCAGTAGGCGGAATAGAATCCCTATAGGAAATGGTCATTTACTGAAGGAGTGACGTTTGTGCGATGGAGAATTGCGTAGGCGTTGGGGCAGGGAGCCAGGCTTCGGGTGTGGTCGGGTTGGGGCTTGGTTGGAGGTGGTTGGTGGCGACGATGAGGGGGATTCTCGTGTGCTTTGGGCTAGCTTTCCCAAGATTGCTGCTACCACGGGTAAGACCAGTTCTGGCTCAGTGCATCAGAAAACTGGTCCCTCACTCGCCTCTGCTTGTTCGTTCCTCCCGAGCATACCTATCCTCCGCGTCACCACTTCCGCCGCTGCCTCACTTGCACATTTTAGCACTGTTGGCGTGCTTCCGCATGCAGCACTGATTTGCCTCCCAACGTATTTCATCTCAGTGGACGCTGCTGGTTTTAGTGTCCTGTCTTTTTAGGCCAGTGCACGATCATCCCAGTTTGCTCGTGGAAGTGCTGGCCGCTGCAGGCGATACACAGCTTCGGGCGCCAGCGATGGGAGCTCGATGTCCGAAGCGGCGAGCTATTTTTAAGGGCGTATCTGCTTGTGCTGCCGTTGTTGCTGATGCGTCGATAAGAATCGTATGTTTTTGGTGTTGTCCCATTTGAATTTGAGGATGAGCAAATACTTTTTTGCGTGTTCCTCCCTCACTTTTCCGAAGAGATGATACTCTGCATGCGCATTGACTGTGGAGAGTGGGAAATTCTCACGTAGCGGCAGAAGTCATGCAATTGTTATTTCCAGAGCAGATACGGGCGTCCGCGACGTAGTACAGCGACTCGAGGTCGAAGTGGTGGACGTCGCGAGGGGGACGCAGCGAGCAATGTTGCTGACGAAAGCAGCCTGTCTAGCATGGTTAAGAGCCGAAAGAGTTTAGATGTGAGTTTTAACCATTAACTTTGTGTTGAACCAAACAACGGCTACGATAAGCATCCATGTGACGAACCGTTCCGCTGGATTCTACGTCCTGGCTAGGTCTTGCAGTCTTTTTTGCTAGGATTCCTTGGTTTCGGAGTGAATTTGTGCACCTTTCGTCTTCGCTCTTCCAGCGAATTGGCCAGTTTTTTGCAGAATTTTACTCACGCGGACTGTTTTGCTTCTGCGTACTGGAACAGACGGGGACCTAGTTTGCTTCAGGCCATTTTTTCGGGTACGCCAGACTACCGAGCTAAAAGTGTGGGACAACCGGCACCATCAGTGATGTAGCGCGATACGCACTATCGATCCGGACATCTGCTTTTGAGTCTTCGTTGCTGCAGCGGCTTGTGACAGCTATGCCCGGCCACATGGGTGTACCCAAGCATCTGACCTGGATTTACTCCAAGGGATGGAGGACGGGTTAATCAGTGAATAGCGCTTTTAAGTGCGGCTCACTCACGTAAGAGAGTTGGAATCAGCTTCGGAAGCCTCAGTGTGCCTCGCCGTGCGATCGTCGGATGATGTGGCATGTGGTGGCATTGCCATTTGCTTTGTTGAGTGGGGCCCTTTCTACTTAATTTTGATATCGAAGAAAATGCATACGAGTGTCAGTGTGGGGAATTCACTAAACATGTAGCTGCTTGGACTTCCTCTAACTGTGCATGTTTCAGCCCGCCGCTATTTGGTCGCTGTGCATATTTTTTAATTGGCGGACTAAGAATGTTTCGCAAAAGAGAAATTATATTAATTTTTATGGATGACGACGGAGCCGGGACACGGATGTGTGCACTACAGGACGTCCTCTGCACATGCCAAGTATAACTGTTTTTTACTGCCTCCGTGATTGTCTTTTGCAACTGTGCGCTTCATCCCTTCCCTGTTTCGCATTCTTTCTGTAATTCTGGTGGCAGGGATTAGCAAGGCGGATTGGAACTAACTGCACTATCTCGCACTGATTTCATCATGGCATTTTTGCGCGACGACGACCCAGTGAGGTTTAGGTGCCCATTTTTGAGCAGCAGCAATCACAGCTATCGTAGTTTGCCCATTCTCTTATAAGTTGATTTGCAGGAATGCTGTGAAGGGTGGCGTGCTTGTAAACGCCTCCAAAGCAGCCTTGGCGGTCACCTGAAAATGTGGATGAGCGCGGTGAACCGTTCGGGCTTGCTTGAAGACGAGCGGCCT